AACTTTAGCCACGCTGTATTTCATCTGATAATTAAATTTTGGAGCTGATGAAAATATCATTAGATATCGATATGTATATCGACATGATCAGTTATTATTCTTCTGCCTATTCTTATACACTTGGTAAGTTACCCAAAGCTAACAGAATAGAATTATTTCAAAGAATTCCATGATACCGGATTTTATCCTTTCTTTTATTTCGGTAAATTAACCTTACTAAATTTATCATGGAAAACATTTGAAAAAGAGCAGAGCAAATGAAAATCGAGCTTAGGTCGAAGATTCTTCCATTTAGCAGTATATTCTTCAAATATATTCCTTTTAGAAACCTTGACAGATGAGCCTCAGGTATGAGTGACCACATTTTATGTAAGAATTCAAGTATAAGGCTAACCAATGTTGACTTATGAACTCAAGTATAAAAGCAATCAATGTATACCTCAAATATAAAAACCAGACCAATGTTTGCCTGTATACATAAGTATAATAAAAGACTGATTTTGACATTAAATAAGCCTAAATCGTGTTATATGTTGTAAAGTCCATAGATCCAAGTATCCTTTTTAGACAATTGCTTTACGCAGTGGAGTATTTCTCATTTGTTCGGTAATTTCAAGAAAAAAAAAACTTGCTGAATAGTGGCATAATACCATAGAAAGATATGGAAAATATTTTCATAACTTAATAATAATCCTATGTATTTATACGGCTAAAACATGTCACAGGAATACCGTATATCTGTTATATAGTTACTTTGATTTTCAGTGTTACTTTTTAGACGAAAGGGTTCATTGCAAGTGGCACGTTCTGATAAACTGACTCTGTGTATGCTTGGTCTTACACTTAATGGATTCTTTCTAATATATTTTTTTCATTTAATGTTTTCTGCTTTTTGTTAAAAACAAAAGCAGAAAGTAATTTCTTTAAATGTAATGAATTTTTTTTTCAGTTTTCAATGAGTATTTTCAAGAAACTGGAGAGCAACTTCTGAGGCTTTCAATTCTCGACGCTTCTGAATTTCCATGTCAAAAGTATAATTGACATTTGAAAGAACTTCCTGAAAAAGCAATTTACATAAGCAAATGAGTGGTAGAAATATAAACAAATCGCAAGAGTTGGTTTGACGTTGGTGAGACGAAATGCTAATTGAAAAAAAAAAAAAAAAAAAAAAAAAAAAGGAAAGAAAAAAATCATAAAAAATTTTCAGCATTAAAACATCTCATTAATTATCCACGAAAAATCACGATTGTGATGGAAGACTTTCGCTTCCACTTTTTCTTCATTTGTCAGGCTGAATTAATTGACTCAGTTTGATCAGATCGTTAATTCCAACCAATGCTATTTCATGGTTCCTGTTTCCTCTATCGGCTGCTTACGTGTTTAAAACGACAAATGTAAAGAACAATGCCCCAGTTCTTAGTAAAACCATTCGTAATATTGACGTATTTAAAATGAAGAAAGTTTTAAGCATGTTTGGTTGTCATTAAAATTCGTTCGTTTATTTCATGCATGTTAATCCTATTGTTCATTAACAATTTTAATAAATCAGTCAATAATACAAAATAATAAACAAAAAATAGAAACAATAATATAAAATGTCGAAGAAAAGGTATATAAACAAGGCGCTCACGATATATTCCTCAAGTAATTTTTACAGATATATCCATCGTACAAAACGCTTAAATTTCCGGTTTTCAGTCAAGCTGACAAGCTGTCGACACCTGAAATAAACACCTATCTCTGTGTTAAAATTGCATTTCTGCAATATTTTAAACTTAAAGTAATATTTGTTTCAATTAAACTTTAAATCAGCTAATATAACTCAAATAAAGTTTCAGAAAACAATATTTTATTTTAGAAAGACTTTTGAATAAAGAGAATTACGCCGTGATGGCTAAAAATGACGCTATAATCAATGATTTTAGCAATCTGAAAAAGAAAACTCCTTCCAGTCAATTTAAATTAGTTTTGAAATATGGCAAAATATTTTGCTTATTGGAAATATTACATTTAATCTATTAGCTTGAAATTAAAACTAAAATAAAAGCTTCAAGATGGTTTTCTCATAAAAAAAAAAACATTTTAAAGCTTAAGTCAATTTAAAATTCATTATCTTTATAGATATAGAGACTGTAGATCTAAGAATCAACATTGAAAGATGAGTGTTAGTCTCACGCCTTAAATGATCTTCAGACCAACAAACTGATATATATATATATATATATATATATATATATATATATATATATATATATATAGTGTGTGTGTGTGTGTGTCCAAAAGTATGGCACTGGTGCTATAAAAAAGCAACAACATATATCAATTTAGCATTTAATGGTCTCCTTCTGATGTTACACAATTTATCTAGCTTCGATTGATGGAAGCATTCCTGGAAGTCTTTTGTTTTCGTGGTAGCGACCAGTTGCCTTGTAGCATTCTCTTAGGTTTCCTCTACGTCTTGAAATCTTTTCCTTTCAAATGGGATTTTATTTTTGAAGGAGCGAAATTTGGGGAATGTGGTCGTTGACCAATCTGGGGGATGTTTTCCTTGGTCCCAAACTTCTGTACAGCCCATGGGCCACTGATGAAGCCTCTGTGGTGTAGTGAGACGATCACATTCTACACACAATCACTGCTATAAACAACGGAAGTGAGCAAAAACGTTATAACTTAGTGTATATACACGACAAAGTTGAAAGTGAACCTGTGCTAAAGTGGTTCCACTCTCCGTACTTTAGCTCCATTAACAGGACAACAGTACCGATAATTTTTTTGATCAGATCTCGTATATATATATATATATATATATATATATATATATATATATATATATATATATATCTGATTGAATAAATTACAAACATTATGTTTGCTTATTTTTATCATAATCCCGTCATATTGACGAGTACTTTTCCGTATATTACAATTAAATAAGGTAAGAAATATAAGGATGTCGCTCATTTGTGGCGGAGAGCAATGGTTATCCTTGAAATAATAATTGTACTTATATAGAATTTTGTTTATAGATGAGAAAAATAATCTGTAATTCGTCAGGATTATTAATATAATATGTCAAAACAATAGTGTTTATATGAACTATGGAATGCCAATTGAGAAGAAGAGACTGTTCGTTTAATCATGAGGGGGAGAGGTCAGTAATCAGGTTGTAATCTAAGTTTTTGTCGCTACCAACGCGGTTATTTAAGCGCGTGTTTGTGTGAAAACAGTGAATGGAGTGAGTTGAGAGAGTCGAGAGACAGTCGAGTCAAAGTAGCAGGCGATACACACACACAGAGGAGAGAGAGAGAGAGAGAGAGAGAGAGAGAGAGAGAGAGAGAGAGAGAGGTCGACCTGAGAGTGAAAGTGTCCGCTTTCTGCTGTGATAAGTGAATTAATTACGGCCACTACTAAGACCAAAAAGGGTGAACCCGAAACCTACTTCACTCCTTTCAGAATTAATTGCAAATGTTTTGTATTTTTTCCTGGCCTTTATTGCTTATACACTACTTTATTGTCAAGGAAGCATTATTCTTTTTTGTCTCAATTTCTTCCTTATATACATCTATATAATTTTTTCTTTGGGCTCGAATCGACTTGTTCATATTTGATTTTTTCTGCTTGGCTCGATTCTCGCCTCAACGAACTTGCAGGTAGACCAGTTGAATCTTCCGGGATTTACGATTTGTTACTTGCTCTCCAGGATCAAAAAAATCCCAACGTGGCTCGAAAGTGGAAACAAATCGACATTGCGAACCGGTGGCTTTGGTGATCCTGTAATACTGGGTTCAGGACAGGACCAACGGCCGGTTTTGTAGAGTACATCGATACAGTGGGGCCAGGATAGGTGTTACACATTCCATTCAAAGTCAATAAGCCGAGCAAAGACCAGAAGAATAGTTGATAAAGGAGAGGAAGTAGACCCAGCTGTTCCTCAGATTGCCATGAATGCGAGAGAATATTTTTTGTCAAATGAAGGACTCCAAAGCCAACTCATGAGTTACATGAAAAACTCGTCAGCATATTATGCTCTGTTTGTTATTGCAGAACCGCTTACTTGTGATGTGTATGCAACAAAGTCTGCAAGAGCAGCTCCGGTCTCACGAGACATTTGAAAACGCGTAATGATCCTCCTACTGAACAGCCTGAGAGTCAGGCCGAAAACATGGATTTAGCTTGCAGTCTTTTCAGCAAACTCTTTAAATCTCTCGCCTGCTTTAAGTATTAATATCGATGTCACTTTCGTAGGGTTTCATGTATATATGCATGCCGGAAAATTGAAAGGGTCTCGTAGACCCACACCAAATTTATAATCCGGGGACACCCACTCTACTAAATCGGAATTTTTATAAGGTAGTATTCATATAAAATAAAAATTTTATTGTAACCTAATTATGAACAATAATGCATCATGGGCAATATAGCTGAACAATTCACTTAGAAAAATTGAAAATAACTACAATATACCTAAATTCCAATTAGAGATATGTCATAATAGATCATTCTATCTAAAATAAATCAACAATTTTTTGCGACAATTTTTGACATCCACTTAAGATTTTTGTTAAAAGGTTAAATAATTTTAACGCATTCAACATTATGAATAAAAAAAAGTTAGTGAATTTTATATAGTTTCTTTTTGGAGATTTAGCATGAGCAAAATAAATTCACGGATTTGGAAAAAAAAACGAGAATGACGTCAAAATCCGCGAAAATATTTCATCCTTTAATAGTTTTACTAAGTTTAATTTATAACATACATAAATGAAACGCAATTGGTGATAAGATAGCGAAGGTCATAAAGCGTTGCTCGGGGTCCTCAATCAGGCTTCCCACCTCCGGTTTGTGAGGTAGTAAGCACCGGCCCTGTATACATGTCTATATATGAGTATTGCCTTAACAATTGGTTCCCACCGAAACTAGATAAGAAACTTATTTTTCCATGGATAATACCCGAAATATTTACTGTGTGATCGTTTGAAATATGATTATGATTAAGATTGATGCTCAATATGCAGGTAAATTTAAGATTATTAAAATATAAGTTATTAATAGGATTTCAACTATGACCTTTGATATCAGCGCAAGACAGTCATCCTAACTCATTTCACCCTCATTCGCCATATTTTAATCCTGTCTGGAAACTATTTTGTATATCTACATTTCACAATCATCGTTCATATACCATTTTTCTTTCTTTATCTCTCTCACACACGTATTCTCTGTCATATTTGTAGTTTTTCTTTCTTTCTTTCTTTCTTTCGATCATGCGTGTATTCTTTCTTTCTTTAATTCATTCATTCTTTTTTCTTTCTTTTCTCTTGTTTTCTCATTGTATTTTCTTTTTTTCCTTGAATGTTTTTTTTCAGTCTTTTCTGTTGTCACAATTTTATATTTTTTCTTTCAGTTTTTTCTTTATTTCTTATTATTTTACTCTTTGTAATTTCTTTGCTTGCTTGCTTGTTTGTTGCTTCCTTTCTATTTTCCTTTCAGTCTCTTCTGTAGTCAATTCTTTTTCTTTCTTTCTTTCTTTCTTTCTTTCTTTCTTTCTTTCTTTCCAGTTGTCCTTTCTTTCCTTCCTATTTTTTCTTTCTTTTTTCTTTCTTGTTTTTCTCTGTAATTGTATTTTCCTTAATATTTTGTATTTTTCTTACATTCTCTTCTATAACCAATTCTTTCTATGCTGTTTTTTCTTTCTTTCTTTCTTTCTTTCTTTCTTTCTTTCCCTGTATTTGTATGTTTTTATAACTTTGTATATTTCTTTCATTCTCTTCTTTCTTTCTGTTCTCCTCTTTTTTCTGTTCTTTCTTTCTTTCTTTCTTTCTTTCTTTCTTTGTATCTGTATTTTCTTCATAACATTGTATTTTGTTTCAGTCTCTTCTGTAGTCAATGCTTTCTGTTTTTTCTTTTTTTTCCTTTCATTCTTTCTTTCGTGCTTTCTTTGTTTCGTTTTTTTGCTGTTCTTTCTTTCTTTCTTTTTCTGCATTTGTATTTTGTTTATCTCATTGTATTTCTCTTTCAGCCTCTTCTGTAGCCAATTATTTCTGTTCCTTCTTTCTTTCTTTCTCTCTCTGTCTATTTGTCTCTTTATAAATTTTTATTTTTCTATCAGTCTCTTCTGTAGACAATTATTTCTGTTCTTTCTTTTTTTTTGTTTCCAACCTGTTATTCTTTTTTCTTTCTTTCTGTTTTTTTTTATTTTCTTTCTCCCTTAGTATTTTTCTTTCAGTCTCTTCTGTAGTCAATTCGTTCTTTCTTTCTTTCTTTCTTTCTTTTTTCTTTCTTTCTTTTATCATAAATAAATGCTGTATTGGATAAAACAACTCACCTCATGTTCCAAAGAGCCTCGACTATTACAAAGATATACTTCTGGGGCACACAGTGATGATCGAATTCATATCACAAGTGAGTTGGCTTGCAGTTTGCTAATCGCCAATTTATAAACTTTTGCATAATGAACAGACAAGGGAACCCACGCACACGTCGATCACGGCTTTAGTTACTATTCTTTGGAGGCTTTTCTTCGGGAAGTTATTAATGATCAAAAATGGAGACAGAATTTTACAATTCTCTCAGTCAGGAAATGTACGCTCGGATTTCCAACTACAACCATTAATATAGATGAGAAATAACGAAAACACGCATGCATACACTTGTATATCCTTCCTTTCCTTCTCTCCGTTACATACACACTCACACACACGCGCGCGCACATCCATATATGTATGATTCTGTTTTGTGCTCGTGTGATTTCTATCGCAAACAAGTTGGAAGTAATTTTATTTCGTAGTTGAATTTAATTATATCTTCTAATTTGTATATTTTTGGATGTAAATCTTCGTAATTACCTGTCAGTTAAATCTCAAAGGAATATAAGCTTTTGTCTGGACTAATCAGAAATGCTATATATATGCTTATCTATCTTTCTCAATCTCTCTTTCACCTTCTCTCTCTCTCTCTCTCGCACACTAATGTTTTCTCGCATAATCTTTTTCACTCTCTCCTCTCTCTCACGCACACAATATTTCTCTCACACGCTATTTCTCTCTTTTCGAAACTCCCCCTCCCTTTACCACAATATCTCTTTCACTCCCTCATTCACTTTTTCTCTCACTCACACATACCCTCTTTTTCTCTCGCTCAATTTCCTTCTCTCTCACGTTTTTCTCTAGCACACACTTTTTCTCTCAATTTCACACTCTTTCTTTTACACATTCTCTTTCTCACCCTCACTTTCTCTTTTTGACACAATGTTTTTCATTCATTCTTTTCTCTTTCTCTATCACACTCTCTTTCTTTCTTTCTCTTTTTAAATTCAAGTCTTTGTTACACTGCCATTCAGTTATCTATCTATCTATCTATCTATCTATCTATCTATCTATCTATCTATCTCCTCGAAACTTCCTCGTTACTCACATGTGCTGTCTACGGTATTTTTAGCATTCGTAGAAGTCTTTTTTTCATCTGCGAGAAAACTGTGTAATATTTTCTGGCATATAGGCGATTCAATATCACATAACTCTCACATACAATCATTTGTTTCTAAAGACAAACCGTTTCCATACGGATAGAAAATGAATTCAGTAGATATACAAAAACAGAAAGGGGTGTAAAACTTGGGTGTGTTTTCTCACCGGACTTATTCAACCTATACAGTGATGTGATTCTGAGAGAATTATAAATCCTACCAGGATTCATTATTAGTAGCCACAATCTTAACAACATGAGATGACACAGTGTTCATAGCAGACGCGGAAAGGAAAATACAATAACTTCTACAGAAGGTAGTGAAGGAAAGCGAGAAGAAAGGACTAAACATTAATTGTAAGAATGCATGCTTGTTAGCAAAAGCATGTGCCCAAAATGCAAATTGCAAATTAGAGATATCAAAATCAAACAATATCTGTCTATATTTTTGAGATGAGGTATTATGTACATTATTTACATTATTCAGACTATTGTCCTCATCTTTGTCGCCATATCTATTACAACGTTTCGGCCATTGTACGCTCCGGCCTTCTTCAGGTGGTTGAAATGTCGAACTGAACACTTTATTTCGCTCACTGGGGTAGACTGTTCTAGTTCCACGTGCCATGTTTAATGGATGTCAGTTATCAATTATCTCCTGTTAATTTTCCTCTGAAGCATAAAAATTTAAATATCTGGGAAACGTTTTAACATAGGACAGAAAGTGCGACGCCGAAATCCGAAGGCGCATTGGGATAGCGAAAGATGCCTTCCAAAAGCTAAGTAACGTATTAAGAAACGGAAAATGAAAAAATAAAAAGTAATGAACTGTTATGAAATATAAGTCCTCCTATATGACAGTGAATGCTGGAAAATCTCCTCACAGATGTAGAAGTGACTTGAAGCAAGAAAAATGTGGTTCTACAGGATGATGCTGAGAATACCATGGACCAAACAAGTGAGCAAACAACGAAGTTTTAGAGAAAATGGAAACTTATACTTAACATCAGGAAGAGACAGTTGACATTTCTAGGTCACATAATGAGGAAAGAGGGCTTGGAAAATCTGATACTCACAAGACAGATTGAAGGCAAGAGGTACAGAGGAAATCAACGGGTGGCGGAGCAATGTTTAGGATAAATAAAAAAAAGGAAAAATTATTAAGTCACGAAGGAGTGGAAGTTGTGAAGAGCCATGATCGCCTACGTCCTGAATGGACACGGCATATGGAGAATAATAATAATAATACTTTGTTCCGTTTCTGAAAGGATATTCCTTTGTTCCTCTACGCTTGTGGGTTTCTGCGTTACATTTCCAGTCATCTTTTAGTACATTACCCAGATAGTTAAATTTCCGCACCGGCTGATTTTGACGTCTCCAAGACATAAAAAATAATATAAAGGATTTTGATATACTGGAACCATGAGCTAGAACTATTTCGCAAAAGATAATGAAATACAAAAGCGATTCTAAGTATTCTGTACTTCCTTTAGCTGATTAATTCTTTGGACAGAAAAAAACAATTTTAAAACAAACACGGATATATATATATATAATGCAAAGAGATATTTTTTTTATCTATGATTTATTTGTTAGTGGCGGATCTACTGTGAAACTAATGCAGCTTAAGCATCACGGGCCCTAATCCTAGAGGGCCCCATGAAACAACTTTTTAATAGGCGAATTTTTCAACTAAATTGACGTTTTATTTTTTAAAATGTTATTATGATAAAGCCATTTTAGAGATAAAATAATAAGCCAGTGAGTTGAAGTAGTTAATGTTAACCTCAATATATTCTATAATACCGATTGTAGTCTCAAAATTCCTCTCTAATTGACCAAAATTTCCAAATTTGCTTCGGAGCTTGCAGCGTCCGACCCTTAATTATATGGGCTCGTTGAGATCACCAGAATCTATTCATAGACTTACATTTTGACAGTTGGATCCCCGAATCTATTATTGCTGGTTGCGAAGGGATTCCCATATCTTTTCAAGCTTCAGGGTCCTAAAAATGTGGGTCCGTCACTGTACAAGTCAACAACCGAATGTCCGGTAACTTATATCCATATACCTCTTCTAATCCGGACACGAGTATTAGAAAGCTCTTCAATTTCAAGTAATTGCCAGACTAATTCAACAAGCGGCTATCGGTGGCGTTATATTTAATAAAGTTTTAATGTAAGTTTTAATATAAGATTATATATATATATATATATATATATATATATATATATATATATATATATATATATATAGATAAACATGCCAGATACACACACACACACACACACACACACACACACACACATATATATGTGTGTATATAAATATAAATATATATATATATATATGATTATTTTTATATATTATATGCATGGTACTTATTAGAAAGCGCTCAATATCAGAGAGAGAGAGCTAACAAACTTACATCTATCCAACCAAATATATATATATATATATATATATATATATATATATATATATATATATATATATATATCCCCTCTATATATATATATATATATATATATATATATATATATATATATATATATATATATATATATATATATATATATATATCCTATATATATATATATATATATATATCTATATATATATATATATATATATATATATATATATATATATATATATATATATCCTATATATATATATATATATATATATATATATATATATATATATATATATATATATATATATATATATATATATATATATATATATATAAATATATATGTTTCGCTGTATCACAGCTCAATAGCGTGGCTATATATCCGATTGCTTCAAGCCGGGATCTAAACACGACCGATTTGGCATCGGTCAGAGACTCTAAGCTATCGGCGTACGGCAGAGATAGGGAATCTTTTAACATATTATATACGTGATGTATATAAACTGTAGAGCAGCCAACCAGAGTGCTCAGTTCTGGCTAAGTGTTATGCGTTAGGCAGGAGAAGCAGCTGTTGAAGATTCCTTTTTCTCCATAGTGCTCAATCGGCGAACGAGAATATATTAGATACACAGATAAAAAGATAGAGTGACATAGATATAAAAATTAGGGAAACACTCACAATGGCTTCAGAGAGAATAAGAAAACAGAGCTATTGTTTATTAAAGATACACTAATTTAATCTATCTATCTATCTATCTATCTATCTATCTATCTATCTATCTATCTATCTATATAAGGAGGCACAGTGGAGTAATGGTTATCAGCTTGGATTGAGGAATCCATTACATTACGTGCTAATATCCTTCCTTCCCCTCTTTCCTATGGGTAAATAGCAGGACAGACTGGGTTCTATAGACTTAGATTGGTATAGAAGGACATCTCTGAAGTCAAACCTGCGTTTGGGGACCTTGTGGTAGTGCATCATGTTACAGTATTCGGCTTTTCAAAAAGTGGGGGTGCTTCTGCACAAAACCTTCACCACTATAATCAAATCTCATGTGCTGCTTGACCCTCATACGTCGAATTCGACGGAAGAGTCGAGTATATATATATATATATATATATATATATATATATATATATATATATATATATATATATATAAAAAAAGAAGAGGGGGTGCCGCAAACGTTTTTGGTTGTAATGTGGATTTATTGAGAAAAATATTATACTTTGTTTTTATAATTTCACGACACGTGTTTCTGGTCTGGTCTCGCAAACCGTCTTCAGGTGAAAGTGGAATTTTCGGATTGCCAACACACAAACAGAATGTCTCATATCGAGAATATTCCACATTGAACATGAAGAAAAATTAATTTTTTTAATAATATGTAAAAATCTCCACTTCAGTCGGAATTGTTATAATTCTTATAATACCTAAAAGTTCTTAGAATCGCAACATTTTTTTTTATATTTAAATAACCCATAATATATATTATATAATATATAAAAATCAAATAAGAAAATTTGCAAACAATCAATAATCAGGATAGCAGCTTTAAGAAATCGAGATCCGTTCTTTTCAGTCGGAATTGTTATAATTTTATTTGAATGAAGATAGCCTTTCTTTTCACTTTTCTTTCCCATAAAGGTTGATAAGCGGTAAAAATCAAATGTTAATAATAGGATAGCTTTCGAGATGTCTTTTTCTTGTTTGATTCCTTTTTTTCAATTTATTTACTATTGTTTCTTTCTTTTTTTGTTTTTTCTTTTTGTTTCTTTCTTACTTTTGTTTTTTCTTTCGTTCGTTCTTTCTTTCGTTCTTTCTTTCTGCTATCTTTTCTTTCTCTTTAATTATATTCATATATTCTTTCTTTTCTTCTTTCTTCCTTTCCCTCTTTCTTTTCTCTATCTTTCCTTTCTCTTTCATTTTATTTTGTTCGTTTTTTCCTACTTACTTTCTTTTTTCTTTTTGCTATCTTTTCTTTCGCCTTAATTTTATATATTCTTTCTTTCTTTCTTTCTTTCTTTCTTTCTTTCTTTCTTTCTTTTCCCAGCATTCTATTTTAAATCTTTTTCTGTATATTATTTTAGTTTTAATTCTGTTTCTATCATAGATGCAACTTATAAAAACTGTAATCTTCTCAACAAATAATAAATATACATAATTTCAGTTGGTTGCATATATTTTTGATATGAATCAAAATCGATTTAAATTGGGTAGCAAACACTGATTGATTATATATATAAGCATCTGTGTTTAAATCTGTTTCGATGCGACAGTGTATTCATTATGGCTATTTTTTATTCTTTGTAAGGGCTATGATTTTGCTGTTAAGACTTTTAATGGCGAGTGATAGATCATAACATTTACATATAAAATAGATTTGATTTTTTCTCGAGAATATTAAATGAAAATCGAAATATTTTTTAGACACAGACAGAAGAAAAAATAAATAATAATAAAAAAAAAAAAGTAGAATGAAATCAATAAATGTACAACTGATGTAGATTTCCCCGTAAATATTGACTTTGCAATAATCTTGCTGAAGAAATTGCTTGGGCAGACGATGTCTACCGGAGAATAAGAGCAGATCAATGTAAATGGCGGCAAGCCAGTCGTATCATTTGCTTATTATCAGAGAGGCGAGAAAATTTCATCTCGAACCAAAACGTATTTTATCATTTATTTTCTATCTGCGTTTTTGTTCGATTCATTAACACCTTGCCATCTAGCAGTTTCGCCATACTTTGTTCTCATTTCTCCCTCCTGCTTTCCCCTCTGTCTATATTATATATATATATATATATATATATATATATATATATATATATGCATATATATATATGTGTGCATATATATATATATATATATATATATATATATATATATGTCTTAAAAATTTACAGACGATTATAAAAATTAGAAAGTAACACAAACATTTTACACTTATATAAGATTTTATATATCTGTCCGTGATTTTCTCTCTCTTTATCTATCTATCTATAAAGTATGTATATTGTATTAAAAAAGTAAGGCAATAAAGTCACTAACACGCAAGTGATTACTGAGTATGAAAAAATATGAGAAAAAAAAACATTATGAAGGAGAGAGAACAATGAAAATCAAGAATTAAAAAGACAGAAGTTTGTCATTGCATTTAAATTTTTGAAGATCAAAGTTGACTAGGAATCAAGAACCCAGAATAGAGTTTCACCAGGGAGAAGTGCGAGAGAAGAAACTGTTAGCATAGAATTTACTGTTATATATAGCTATTTCAACTGTAAAATGATGACACCTATCTGACAACACACGAACTTATAACTTTACACATGCTATATATAAACACACTAACTTATGACGTTACATATGCTATATGATACACATTAACTTATAACGTTCATGCTCACTTTCGTTCTTTAGATCAGTGCTTGGAAGGAAAGCGTGTAAAATTTGGTCGTCTTACCAAACTACACAGTATTCATCAGTGACCAAGGCTTGTGCATCAGTTTTTGGCCACGACAACATTCCTACCATAGTCCACGGAGTTTTTTCTTTTCAAAAATCAAATTCCACTTGAAAAGAACAAGATTTCAAGGCGACAAGAGGCAACTGCTCGCTATCGACGTTGGATAAAGTGTGCGCTCCGGAAGGGGACTACTTTGAAGGATATTAAATGACGAATTCATATGTCTTGTAGTTTTCTTTCTATAGCACCAGTCTCGACATTTTTTTGATCAGATTTCATTGTTAAATTTATTTACTTAGCTGTATTCAAATAACACAGAACTATCTGAATGGTGTAATAACAACGGACTGATAATGTGACACCGTGAGCTGAAGACGAGTAGAAATAACGAAAGATACCTTCCAGAAACCAAGTAAGATACTAAAACATAGAAATATTTCCTAAGAATCAAAGAAAAGAGTGATGAACTGCTATGTTGTATTTATTCTTCTGAATGATAGTGAGTGCCGGACAAATTCGTTAGAGATAAAGAACAGACACCAAGCAATAAAAATGTTATTCTACAAACAGATGTCCGCCTATATTTCTGAGATGAGGTATTATGTACACTATTTACATTATTCAGACTGTCGTCTTCATCCTTGTTGCCATATTTATCAAAACGTTTCGGCTGTTGTACGCTCCGGTCTTCTTCAAGACCCAAAGAATGTGCGTTTAATACCTGGTTAAGGCGGTGGAGAACTTTGAGAGGGGCATTAACAGGAGATAACTGACATCCATTAGACATGGCACGTGGAACTAGAACAGTCTACCCCAGTGAGCGAAATAAAGTGTTCAGTTCGACATTCCGACCACCTGAAGAAGGCCGGAAAGTACAACGGCCGAAACGTTGTGATAAATATGGCAACAAAGATGAGGACGATAGTCTGAACAATGTAAATAGTCTACAAACAGATGTTGAAAATACCACAGAGAGAACATGTGGTCAACAAAGAAGTTCTAAAGAAAACGAGAAATGCACTTATTCTTAGAATCATAAAGATACAGTTGAAATTCTGAGGAAGCGGAATTTACGAGGAAGGGCGGCTTGGAAAATTTAACACTTACAAGGTTTATTGTGGGAAGATCTAACTTACCTATTGAGTTTGTGTGAATAGATAGCAGAGTAGGTAAAATTAGAATGCATCCTCCCTGTATTTGGGACTAGGGATTAAAGTGTAGTATCTGCCCTCGGGCGGACCAAGTACATTTTATCTCTCAATTATGTCTTTGTCTTCCGACAGAGCGCAACTGAAAATCTTTCAGAGGTGCACTGTCTAGGAGGAACAGCTCCCTGCGGTAGTACCTCCTTAAAGAGGGGGGGGGTCGGCAATAAGGCTTGGCTATTTTGAGACCTGTTCTGTGTTCACGCCTTCCGGCTCCTCACATTAAACTGACCTTGTGTCACATTCTGCCAGCGTGGGGTGGCAAGTAAATAGTAAAGAAAAATATCTGTTTTTCATCTCTCTGTCGTGGTTCTCTCTTCGGATAGTGCACAGAAACAAGTTTGAGGGGTACTTGATCCCGGGGATTCAAACCCCGTGGTAGTACCTTCCTCAATACACTAGGAGAGTTGGTGGATACCAACGCCAGCGTGTCTGGTCTTGGCTTATATATACGTGTATGGATACTCCATATTAAAAACGACTTTATTTTACATACCACCACCGTGGGGAGCGGGTAAATGCAGGAAAGTAGAATAGGGACAAGGAAGGCTAGTAAATAATGAAACGTTACTTCGAATTAGAATGAGGTAAGAAGTTATGGAGGGCCATGATCGGCTACTTCCTGAAGTGACATTATACATAGATAGTGGTGATATTTCAAATCACCACTGACGTGCCAACGTAAGACAATCTTCAAAAGATATATTTTACTTTACCTGAGCAATCGAAGTATCAAGACTAAATGAAGAAATTTTAAATTAAGTTTTTGTTTGAAATTTAACACGTTCATATATGTACGTACATATGTTAACGTATGAGTAATATTTTTAAGTCAAAAGGAACAACACACTACGCCTTCATGGCTTTAAGTTTTCCACTTAAATGAAGTGGAGCAACAACATTGAATCAATAGCTGCATCTATTGCAAGGAAAGTTGGGTCACTGTGTCGTGCCAGAAAGTTTTTCTCATCAGAATCCGTCTTGCACATTTACAAATCTATCATGCATCCGTGCATTGAATACTGTTGCCATATCTGGTCTTGTGCTCCTGCTGTACATGTAGAGATTCTTGACAAAATCCAAAGAATCGATCCTGAATAGGTATCACGACTTCAGTCACTTTCACACCATCGTGACATTGCTCCCCTCTACTTTTTCTATTGATATTTTCATGGCAACTGCAATGATGAGATTTCTCCCCTGGTGACCCGGATACATGAATCTAAGAGTGCTACTAGATTGGCACCTAGGTCCCACCGTTTTACTGCAGAAATACCTAAATGCAACCGCCACTTCTACTACAACATTTTTATTTCTCGTACTTCGCACCTGTGGAACTCTCTTCCGTTTACTTGCTTCCTTGATAACTACAATTTTCAAAAATTTAAATGTAACATCAATCGCCATCTTCTGTCTTCTTGAATCCCGTTCGACTTTTGTCCTTTCCTCAACCCTCCCTATTCTCAGTATTCTCTTTTCATTTTCATTTCCTGTAAACTCCTGCGTACTAGTGGCATTTTCCCCTTCCTTCGTGTGAAATGATTAAAAAATAAAAAAAATAAACGATGTATATAAAAGTTATTATACATGGTTTCGTGTTAACGACATGTTTCACATTGATGCAGCAAAAAGCATGTATAAATGAAGAGCTTCTTTCCCTTATTGTATTCATTTTACACATTAAATACTTATTTTTAATATAAATTTATCGCATCGTCAGAGCTGGACTCTCATATGCACATCATGCACTGCATTCAGAATTATTTCTAGCAACACTGTGTAGACAGCAGCATTCAACCGAAGACCCTGTTGAGAAACACCAATCTATTGTACTGAGTGTATATACAATCTTACTGTTTAAAATAAGAGTTTTTTTTTTAACCTGATTCAAAACTTCTGAAAATGTGTCATGCACGGTGTTCAAAACTGTCTAGACCAATGTTTTGCAAATCTTTTTTTTCATCTGATGGCCTCACATGAATCTATAGTTAAACTTCCACGGAACACTTGAATTATGATAAAAAAAGTGTTTAAAAAAGTATACGTTATAGCATTTATTTAAAACAATGGCCTAATGTATAAAAGCGTGGATTTGTGAATTTGGTGACATAGTTGTTGTGAGTTCAATCCTTGGATCGGGCAGTGTGTACTTGAACTCAGTGGAAGCGAGGAGGCATTAACTGAACAGTACTATATAAAAATAAATACTAGACGATATCCATAGATATGACATGAGCAGTGGAAAGAGAACGGTCTAACACCGTGGATTAAATAAAGGGTTCAGTTGATAATTTCCTGTAGATTACTCAGGTTGATATGCCCCTGAGGAATGCCGGTGGCACAACGGCTGAAACTTTCTGATAGCAACAACAAAGATGAGGACAATAGTCCGAATATAAATACTCTAAATAACAAACAAAATAGTTTATTATAATTTGTAATAAAAAGCTAATAAGTAAAATTCTTTAGAAAACTTATATTTATTTATTTTTGTTTAATATAAACTTATATAATATATGTTTAATATAAAACTTATAATAAATATATTGTTTAATATAAATATAAATTAATATAAAACTTATATAATATATTGTTTAATATAAAACTTATATTTATTTATTTTTTGTTTTAAATTTAATATTTAAAAAAATATCAGAGCTTAATGATTTTTTTAGAATATTTTTGTAAGATTGAATATTGGACAGGCATACTCTTAAATCGTCTTCTAAGGATTCTGTGATCGATTTTTGTTTTTAATATTGTTTATTGCAGAAAATCTTGCTTTTTATTTTATTTTTTTATTTTATGTATTATGGAAGTCATGTGTTCTTATGTATTATGGAAGTCATGTGTTTCAAATATAAATGTAATTCATAAATTATCTGCGTATATTTCTGAGATGAGGTATTATGTACATTATTTACATTATTCGGATTATTGTCCTCATCTTTGTCGCCATATTTATTACAACGTTTCGGCCGTTGTACGCTCCGGCCTTCTTCAGGTGGTTGGAATGTCAAACTGAACCCTTTATTTCGCTCACTGGGGTAGACTGTTCTAGTTCCACGTGTCATGTTTAATGGATGTCAGTTATCAGTTATCTCCTGTTAATTTCCCTCTGTAAGTTTTCCACTGCTTTAACCGGGTATTGAACTCACACTCTTTGGGTCCTGTCACTGGATCTAACCAACGCCTTTATCGACTATGTCATGTATCCTCTTCTATTAACTTCAGGCGTACCTGGCATCAGTGCGCCCGGGCGCAACGGTTTAGAAACGTTAATCTATTGAGTATATTTACAATCTAGTTCTTTCAAATATGAGTTGTCTTTTTTTAAGGTGAGTAAACATTTCTGAAAACGTGTTATAATACGACCCCTCCCACTTTATCTCTTTTAATTTTCATTCAACATTATGTTATGTAAAAAAAAAATAAAATTGTGATGTAGGTTAGGCAATTCTAAGGTAGGCGCGTGATACAAAAAATATATATGCTTTATTATTCGGACAAGAATACTCATTGTGATAGTTATGCTGACATTTCGTTTGTTCTACTCTTCGGCTTTCATCACGTGTCTGTCGTACTTATTGGAATTTTGAACCTGAACAATTGTTCAATTTATAGAGAGGAATTCTTTACATTTCAGGGTAGACAACTCATATCAGTTAATACTCTCCAGTCGATTTTGTCTTTTGTGCAGCTTGTCTGTATTTGTTTTGTACACTGAAACAGAAATTGAACTCACGGATGCCAAGGAACTGGATATGTCTTAACCACTATGCCATGTGTATGCAGTATGTGTTTCACTTTCGATTATGGTATAATATACTATGCACTCTGTGTGGCGCCACAGAAACCAGGTTCATCGATGGTTTAGCGTAACAGATGACACCTAGCCACCAACCAAGTACAGATCTATGTCTCGCAGTTGCAGCCCTGACATATGAGCATGAGATCTATATGTATAGGAAAGAACTGCATGTAATATATATATATATATATATATATATATATATATATATATATATAAGTGATCTTTGAAGTCAACACTCAGAGGTAACAGGCTTTTCATGCCTCTGGGTGTTGACTTCAATGTTCACTTTTATATTTATATACGCTCTATCTCTGATATTGAGCACTTTATCCCATAAATATAGCACGCCTTAAAATATTTCAATATTTCTTATATATATATATATATATATATATATGTGTGTGTGTGTGTGTGTGTGTGTGTGTGTGTGTGTGTGTGTGTATGATGCGTAAGGTATTTGAGTTTACAATGAAGACCATAAAAACAACCACATGTCACAAACATCTAAATTTATTGATACAAAACAGATGCAGTAATGGTTGGATTACATGTTTATTTGAGGTAATCGCCTTCAGTCGTAACGATGGCACCATTGCGAGAGTGGTCACATGGTCTGCATTCATATTAGACAATACTCGATTAATAGGTGCTTTCAGGTATTCATTCGTATTATGGGAACGTTGATTAGTCTCTCGTTGAACAACGCCCCACATATAATAGCGAAGGTGATTTAGTTCTGGCAAGTTAGGGTGGTGACATGTTTAGTGTGATGTGATCGTGCAGATTGGCTGCTATCCACAGCTCTCATTACAGGTGAAGAGTTCAGCGGAAACACACACAGAGGACGTCCATCGCATAAGAAGTCTATCTAGGACTTTAAAAATGTTTCCAGCGTTTCAGTATAGCTAGCAGCATGCAACCGAAGACCTTGGTAAGGAGTGGCATGACGTGTCCTTCATTAATCACCGCAGAGAAGCGGGAAACTATCTATCTATCTATCTATCGATCTATCTATCTATCTATCTATCTATCTATCTATCTATCTATGTAGTCATCCGCAGACAGACTGTTTCACTGTATCACTGGTCACTTTAACCGGGACCGAAACTCGACCGTTTTGGTATCAGTCGAAGATTATAACCCCTAGGCTATCGAGAGAAAGGCGAAATTTGCGCCATTGACCTAGAGGCCTCAATCTGTTGGGAGAGTCTTGCATTATTAACAGTAACAGTCACTGATTACAAATATGCCTTTCCTCCCCGATATATATATATATATATATATATATATATATATATATATATATATATATATATATATAAACACCCACCCCAGGGAGAGGAGGTATGAGATAATCTAAGATCTACGTTCCAATGAAGACACGGATTTGAACACTGTCGGACAGTTTATAATGAATTTCAGAGTTGAATAAAATGTAATATTACGTATAAAATATTTATTCCCATATTCTCATTAGCCTGACCGATACGAAAATATTGCTTGTCTCTTGGACAATCTGTTGCTATAATTTTGAAAGTTTAAAACTTTTTTTACTCAGGTGGTGGGTTCTTTTTTATCAGAGGCTCCCAGATGGTGTTTACCTTTATGCTAGGTCCACTGAGCTAGCTGTCAAAATCGAAATGGTGCGTTGATTCTTTTAGTTGTCTTCGTTTAAATAACACCAAAAAACACTGGTTCTTGTTTCATCAGCAAAGTTAAACAGCGACGATCCCGAAGAGTTTGGGTGAACACTTGGACAAACCTCTCCCCCATACCTACCAACCAGGCAGTAATAACTAAAAAGTCGTCAAGTTTTTTTGCAATCCAATGGACAGTAGATATATTGTTTCATTAGATTTTCACGCTTTAACCTTTTCTATTAGATTTTCTTGGAAACAATTTTCCTCGTATTTTATTATAATTGTGCTTGTCCCTTCATTCGTTAGTTCGCACGACCTTTGTGTCCTGCCAATACCTAATAAATAATGGACTGTTCCGTTTTGATCGCATGGAAAGAGCGGAAAAGTCGCTATTGCGTTTCAGTAAGAAAATGAAAGAAAAAAGAAAGAAAGAAAAAAGAAAGAAATGAAAAAAGTTGTCAATTTCAAATCGTTTCATTTGTACCCCCTTACTTCTTAAAATAACGACCAGCATTCATATTTATGATTGTAAATGCAATATTTTGTTCAAGTTGTTAAGCTCAAATATTTAACGTCGCGATAGTGGAATTTCTACGGATATTTTATTGTCGCAACTGAATCATTATCTTAAGAATTAAGATTCATCAATATTATTAAAATAGGAAAAACTTGAAGTTTGCACGGATTAAAACTAGTATTTATTATAAATTAATTCAACAGCCAGGGCGGAGTCTTTCTCAAAAGGAATTAAGATTATGCAAACATTGTTTGAAGACTATTATTCGAATTGTACATAGTTTGAATGCAAATTAATCGAAAGGACAATTATGCTAAATAATAATTATTCGAAATACAAAATTCTTTATTGCAATAGAAATGTAAAAATTAAAAGGAAATACACAAGCGATAATAATTAGAAATACAAATATCGTTAATAAAAAATTAGTAAGAAAAATCCTTATAACTTTAAATTATTTGATACTGCACACAAATAGTCAATTAATGAAGAGTAGTCGTTAAAGGATGCCACTAATTTTTAAAATTTCCATTTGCTTCGCGATATTTCTTGGCGCTCTTGATATTTTGGTAACATGCTTTTATATTTCTGTTCACTTTTAAGAGCGTCTAAGAATTTCTAGATTTTTGGATGATGGGATGGCATTTGTTGCAAAAAAGCCGTTTGTCAAGGACGTTATTAGTTGTAGGCAAATCAGCATTGACTTCCTCAAAGATCACATACATATTTCAAACATAGGTATTTCGAATAATTAGCATTTAGTATAATTGACTTTTTGATTAATTTTGATTCAAAGAATTTCCAATTCGAATAAACGTTTTTCGAATAACTGTTTTCGAAGAATTATTTTCGAAGAATTATTTTCCAACAATTTTCTCGATACGAAAGAACTTCTATCCTGTTGTTTAAAATTACAATTTACGTAATTCATATCCAGATAGAAATAATATTTAAAGCACACTTTCTCGTTAAAATGTTTATTTAAAGTAAAGAAATCTCAACCCCGGATATATATAAATCCTATATATTACCTACTTATGTTTCGCCTAAATGGATCTTCAGGGTGAACTGGAGGCAGTTCACCCTAAAAGTAGGTAGTTTCTGGCTCACTAGGAATTTTTATACTCTGTTCTACTTAGTGCATCGAGCACTTTACGTTTTTTTTTATTTTATTGGATTTTTCCTTTGCTTATTATGACATTAAGTTGAAATACCAGTATATTATATATATGATACTATATATATATATATATATGTTGACCATTCTTATATATATATATATATATACATAGTTGTATATTTAGGCAGCAATCCTACCTTTATGCATGTTTCATTAAAAACGACAGACAAGGTACTACGGTTAAGCTTTTATTTAATTTTTCTTGTGATCGAACAAGAGCTTACTTTTCTGGACAAAGGGTGTGTAAGAACTGTCCAAATGTTTTATATTTCCGAGCGCTTTCGGCTATACCTTTAGCTATTATCAAGAATGATTCGATTTTCAGCTTAATTGAGTGTGTGCGTTCTGTGTATGTATCAGTGTGTGGTAGGGAAGTTTTTAATTTTCGAATACGTCCAGAAAAGAAAGCTCTTGTCAGAATGGTCAACATATACGTATTATCATATATATAATATACTGTCAATTCAACGTAATGTGACCGTAAGCAAAGGAATTCATCATGTCGATGATTTTTGTATACATATATACATAAAGACTAACAAAACAGAAAGCGAAAATTATATTTACGCGTGCACAGATAGCTAAAAAAAAGGAAGTTAGACATTTATGTGTTTCAGTATAGTGTGTGAGTTTGTGTGTGAATGAAACAGCGAGTGCGCCACATGGTTGAATGAAATTATGATGTCGGCTTACCATGCGACTAACTCTCACTGGAGAAGAAGACTGGACATTCTGAAGCAGAGAAAGAGAGCGAATGAGAGGTGGGGTTATGCACTTTCTTTTTATATTCTTGAATAGAACGCCACCTGGCGGCGTTAATCGAAGTCTATGATCAAACAAGACGGGGTAATCCCCATAACATGAATACTGTTAGTAATTTAGCCCATTCGAAAAATGTTAATAGAGTTGTTGCTACCTGACCTTAATCAGTATTTTTCAGGGTGTTTAAGGACAGAAAAAGTTAATCCATAATCATTTGTTTTTGTTATTGGCCTTAGATTCAAATGTATAATTGCAGTAATTGCGTTTCGTAAAATGCCATTTGCCCCGATGGTGACATTAGATAATTGGCCATTCTCTAATGAAAATTACCTTTTTAGAGATATTTTGTTTTATAATTTGATTTGTTACCATTTTCTTCCTTAATATATTTTGGCTGGCGCTATTGTCTGTTTATGTCCATCAGGATGTTTATATTGGCACAAAAATATTCCTTGGGATGGTTGCCAGCGGTTTTATACTTACATTGGGAGGTACACACACGCACACACACAGACACAGACACACACAAGCGCGTGCGCTCGGACGCCCAAATACACTTCTAGCTATCTATGTATCTATATATCTCTCCCCCTTTCTTTCTCTCTCTCTCTCTCTATATATATATATATATATATATATATAAAACAAATAAACTATAAGAGATACGTGAGGCTTATTAAGCTAGATATGCGGAATTATTGATTTGAAATATGAACTGCAAGACTTCTTGCATGCCATAAAATCTTGATCTCTCCATCTGAATGATTTTAGAAAATATGTGGTTGTGTGTGTGAACGCGCGCCTTCATAGGTTTATATATACGCGTGCACACATAAGCATATATACGAATTCACCTTGTTTATATTTTAACGGTGAGATTCCTCCTGTGTAATGCCCGGGAGCCACTCAAGTTAGAGTGTTACAAAGTAAGAGGCACACTTTATGTGAGGAAGATAACGGTTAACTCAAGACTTGAACAGGTTAAGATTGTAATGATGAGGAAAACAACCTCCTGGGAGTCGGTTCCACAGTGAAGTTGTTTGCGAGAAGCTACTCTAGTGGAACTTACTTTGTTTGAATATACATCTATCTCTCTCTCTCTATCTATCTATCTATATATATATATATATACACACACACACACACACACTCATATATGTGTGTGTGTATGTATATATTAGTGTGTGTAGTGTGTGTATGTATATATATATATATATATATATATATATATATATATATATATATATATATATATATATATATATATATATATATATATATATATATATATATATATATATATATGCCCGGGTGTACATGGCTGAAATTGTATAACTTCACCCCACCCTGTATACTCACACGCTCTGTCTACAAATATTTCCCTGCGCCTCCGCTTGCATGTATCATCCGTTGGTATACTAAGCTTACCCTCTCCTTCATCTTTTTTTACGGTATGCCCTTCGCAAGTGTTTAATAAAGTAATTCCATCGATAAAACCTTCTTGCGTGGTCGTTGCTCATGGTTAAATTGTTGCAATGTTTTAGATATTTAATAAATTTCCTATGTCCGTAATATTTTTCAAATTGTATGGCATTGTTCACAAATCTAATAATCAAACAAAAACAGGGATGAAGCTTCAGAGCTTGATTCAAATACAAGTGTAAACGCATGAACTCCTCTTCTGTTTCTTCTTGTCTTCGTTTACTGTAAAGCTAGGGTTAATAAGTGGTTCTTCTGGAATTTCTCCCTTTTAACGATTTAATAATCTTTCTCACACAATCTTTCCATCAAAGGTTGTTCGAATACCAATTTATGATGGAATTATATGAAGAAACTATTGGCTAAATTGCAAGAGCCGATTGTGGACTTGTCGCAGATTTCGTCCACATAACTGAAGTAATCTAAACCAAACCTTCACGCAAGTCAGTATGTGTGTCATATGTAATGAATAT